GCAAACACATCCAGTCATCCAATGTGGTCTTGTGGGTCAGTTTCTGCATAGTGATCAGGAGGACCTGGGTTCAATTCCCTTGCCTGCCCATCTTTTTCTCGCAAACACCATTTGGCAATAAAGCTAAATATGACAACAAATTATTTAATTTGCATGACTACCCACATAGCTCAGTTGATTTGTACTATGTCAGCAATGTGAGCGATCGCTGGTTCGAATCCAGTATGTTTAGTTAGATTTTTGAATGCTAGTGAAGACAGTGCTCCTATGAATAGGACTTAAATCCTAACTCCTGTGTGAAGACACTCGTGGTACAGAGGACAAGACAGTGCGCTGGGAACTCAAAGATCGCAAGTTCGAATCACGGATTGGACACTCCTACAAAAGACATGAAAGACGTTAAAAACATAAACAGCGGATTCAAAAACTCAAGTCAAACATAACACAAGAATACTACCCCACATGGAAGCCAGTCGAAGTCGTCGAAGAACAAACACAGTCGAAGAACGAACACAGTTGACAGCTGTAGGTCACGTGCAACAACAGACACGAGGAGCATGGCTGCTCTCCAAATGGGTCCCTTCTTTTGTATTGACCCCCTAAGGATTGCTAATCCCCCTTTCTAACTCTTCCCCCAAAAATAATATATCGCCCCTTTTAAAATGTATTGACCCACAAATTAATGAATATTCATGAGCACAGAAACTGCTACGTCATGAATAAATTAGCATAATTAAAAAAAAAATTGCATAAAGTGTAGGTACTCCTTCTGGAGCTCTGCCTTCCCTTTTATCGACTATCAGCATACTGACATGTTTGTTTTTTCCGCCATGACAAAGCAGGAGTATTTTTGCACCCCAATTTTGCTACTTCCGGGAAAGTGGTCTCATTTGTAAATGAGGGCGCTAAACATAGTTGTGTGAGTAACGAAATAGTAAACACACTACCGTCATGGAAGAAGATGGAGTCAGCAAACTATTCAAAACATTGCCTCTGGTTTTAATTAATACACTGTCGTCATGGAAAACTATAGAATAATAGTTTTGCCAGTGTTGAAAACGCAATGCCGAAAAAGTCCCGGAGGGGCAAGGGAAAGAGAAAACACAGACAATTAGGTGTTATCCACCAGGCAGGTGAGCATATGTACACAGTGGAGGGACTGTGATATGTAGGAGTTAGTCGTTTTATTTGCGTATTATTTGTTACCCAGCTGACACGCAGAATCCGTTGTGGTTTCGTAATCGTCTTCTAACACACGTTAGATATTAGATGAACAAGAAGTGGTTTGGTGAGTACGATATCGCATTATTGATTCTCTGGACCAGTTGCAATGTAATAAAACAGCAGTCCGAATCGCACGGTTTGTTGGTGCCGACTTATTGCTAGCTGCAATTAGCGTTAACAGCACAACGAACGAAATAACACACGGTGAAACCATGCGAGCTACAGAACTGCAGCTAACTCATTGATGACTCACTGGAGGGGTTGACCCGAAACAAAGTTCCTTGGCTTGCGAAGATGTGCGTGGTTTGGATGCGTCCAACTTTGTCACTCCCTGTAGAATTCCAGTATTTTTTTCCCCTAAGATATAGGCGTGCAGATTTTTTTTCTGCTATTGATTCATGCACTGTTTTGCGGATTATTTTTTTCTATGCAAATTATTTATTAAATTATCCCTGCAGAATTTTTTTTCTGTGCAAATTATTTATTTTTCCAAATCTATCTCTCTAAAGTTTTTAATGGTCTACCTGATTTGTAGACATCTTGACCCAAGACACTTCGTCCCAAATTGGACATCTTGACCCAGACACTTTGGACATCTTGACCCACCGCATCAATGCAACCCTATCTCAATGTGGTGACGTGAACCTTTATCTAGTTCAACGTTGATCAACATCTATTGATTCAAAACATCTGCCACAGAGAGCCTGATCGAACCAATCCTTGAATGCAATCCAGTGCAATGGATCAATCCGACGATGACTACATTTTCAGGGGTTGCGTGCTGTGAAATGAACAACATACTGTAGAATACTTTATTTTCGCTGAAGGGATGATTCCGTGAAAATAAAATCCAGCGAATATACTTTTTTTCCTATATTTCATATTAAACTCATCAAAAATCAGTGAAAATAAATTCCAAGCAAAACGCCCAAAAAGCCTTTTCAGCGAAAATTAATTCCAGCGAAAATAAAGTATTCCACAGTAAGTAGAAAACACAAACACTGCAGTCTGCGAGCACTGGGAAAAGAACAACGTTATTGAGAACGGGTCGAGACACGAGTCATCTGAAATAGGTGGGTCGAGATGTCTAAGGGTTACTAGGTTGATTTGTCTAATGAAAAATGGGTCGAGATGTCCAGTAACCCGTATACCCCTAAATCTCTTTACTGTATGATCCATTATGTCATGTGGCATAATTTATCATGAGTTATTCTAATTTATTAGGAAATGTTGACCTTATGCCTTATTGAACAAGTTAAGCTAAGTGAATAAAATAATAGCAGAAATCTGATTGCATTCTACACATTGCCTGCTGAAAGCCTCCATCACTTTTCTATTATTGCTAACGTTCGTTACTTTAATGTGTTCCACAGATGTAACCGTGAATGACTTTGCCAATTGTAAACCTGAGCATGCTAAAAGTGGCAGAATTACCAAAGCTACAGCTAATTCATTGATCAAAGAAGGTAAAACACACAACTCTTTCTATCCTGTGATTTACAATTTATTAAAGCTTGTATTTTGATCAAGACTGAATTTATTTTCTAGAATTAGAATCTTTTTCTCCCTATTCAAAAATAGACACATATTGATTGGCATGCGTATATGCATTTGCCTGTCAGCCAGTCTGTCCAGACCTGTATCTTGGACTTGCTTTAGCTGATAATATTCTAACTTCACGCAAAATGTATCTTGAAATGCATACGCATATCCATTCTTTTTATGATCTTTTCCAGCATAGCTGATTGGCAGACATTTTAATGTTAAAAATTCATTAAAAATTTCAAGCATTTCTGCCATTCCACAACCAGATCTCTGTTGTGTATGGATGGATTTTGTTCAAACTTTGTATATACATTGGACATTTTGTTTTTCAGATCAGGTTCAAAATGGCTGACTGGTGGCCATTTTGTTTTATGAGTGTGGTTCCAAAGTGAGTCTCTGATATGTCTTGACTGATCATGTACAAACTTTATTTATACATAATACATTTTTTTGCACATATGCATGTATATTTGTTTGATTCGAGATGGGTGAATGGTAGCCATTTTAATGTTAAAAATTTATCAAAATATAGCATTTTTTTCTCATTCCGGAAACAGAAATTGGTCGTGTATACATTTTGTGCAAAATTATGGGACCTTGATGCACATCATTTTGTTTCTCGGATCAAATTTAAAGTGACCAACTGGTGGCCATTTTTTTTAATGAACACTGTTCCATAGTGATATCATACATCATGTCACATATATGCACGTTAATTTGTTCGATGATCTGACTGGTTGTCATTTTAATGTTAAATATCCATCAAAATAAAGCATTTCTAACACTTAGGACCAAGATCTCAGTTATTATATGGACAGCTATTGTTCATCTTGATAAATACCCAGTACATTAAACATGTATATCACGTGACCATAATGTTTTCTTCAGATCGGATTTAAAATGACTAAATGCAAATGATGTTCTAAGGCCATGTCACTGACATACCGGTACATTGACTGATCGCAATCACATTTTACAACTACATTATATATTGTATCATTTGTTTAATGTTGTTATTGAAGATGGCTGATACATTTCAGTGTTGTTTACTATTAAACTAACAATATGTCATGACATGCCTTGTTTAGTGAAACACACTGCTAAAAAGTAGGGCAAATATCTGTTGTCAACAAAAGTGCCCCTTGGTGGTGATCAAGCAAAAACAAGTGAAAATAGAATTCACGCGAAGTCATTAATCTCAAAAGATGTTTCATCTCTCTGTGTAATATATAATTTGTTTACTCATACATTGACGTATTACTGTTACAGTGAAGAAAATATCAGGCCCAGTGTGTGAAATGAACAGTGCAATACTAGACGAAGGCGATACAGCTTGGTACGATAAAAATCTCTCTGATTTTGAAGATGATGAAGACAATGGTACTTTGGATGAAAATCACAATCATACAGTTTTGAGTCTTCCAAATCAAGGTATGGGTAGGTCAAAAACTGTATTAGCTCTATTACAAGCCCTACACTCGTATAAGAATATTCCTGTTTTGCTTATGAGAAATGCAAACCGTTTTTAACAAAGAATTCTCTTCTACTAGTAAAATCTTACCTGATTCAAAATGAAAATTGTATCGAACAAAGGCTACATGCTTGAAACAATAGTGACAAAGCAAAGATTGGGATAACTGTTCTTAAGTTGATTACTGTATTTTTTTGACTCCCGTGTGCGAAGCACAAAAGGGAGTCTTTGCAGTTACCCTGTCTGTATGTCTGTATGTATGTCTGTATGTATGTA